GGTTTTGAAGATATATTTATAGTTTCCACTATCTTTCTAGTCATTCATTCATCAGCTGTTCCAAATCTTTCCCTCAACTTCTCAACCCCACTCCCAACTTCTTCTCTTGCTTCTTATTTGTGAGAAAAGTGAAGTTATTCACTTTCAGCTCATTCATCTTTAATCCTCTATACCAGAGGTATCAGGTGCATTCAGTTTGCAAAAACTTCTGAGCACATCGGAACCAGGTTAAAATACAATCGTGAAATGCTTAACAAAAATAAATGTACAATGCATCATATAATATTAATTTGTAGTTTTCTAAGTCAGTATGTACTGTAGGGATCCCCTTCTGTATGACACCAATGCTGTACATGTCAAAAGATCTGCATTCACCCCTCCTCTTACAGTTCTCTCTAATTTCAGAGGATGAAGTAGATGTCCAATTTCTTATCAGGACTAGCCCCTCTATTTGTGCTCTGAATCTCAGTGTCTCCAAAACCTTGCTTCACTGATCATGCCTTTTTTCTCATGACCTGGATGTTGCAACACCTAAGGAAGAGACTGACTGAAATCTTAACTTGGCAGCTCTAGGATCCAGAACAAAAGCATGTAGGTTTTATTGTCCCCATTAATTATCATGTGACAAATTCTGAATTTAATGGGGAAAAAGGATTGTGAAGTTCTTGGGGATACAACCTTATGAATCCCTGATTTAGGCACCTGCTCTGTTTTATGGCTAGTAGCAATACTCAAGGGGTATTAGTGTGTTTGCTTTTTTCAGTTGTCTGCAGCAACTCCTCTAAGCTGCTTCACTGAAACACCCCTGGCTCAGAAAATTCTGCTCACCTGGATTTTTACATTATTCTTTTTCATCACGGTGGCATTGGTTCCTTATATTCACACTGGTCTGGGTATGTGATACAATCCTCCCTGTGATACTGATTGTTAAAATGACTGTACAACACAGATCTGGTCATATCCATTGGAATGAACTGTGACATATGAAAAGAAAGTCCTGCTACTTCATAGCAACATTCCTAAAATGAAATAACTTACTAACATGAAATCGTTCCATCACTGGTTGGGACTATTACATAACTTGGACAGAATGTCTGTTTTTGCTTGAGGAGGCTAAATGACTATGATTTTTCAATAATAGTTTATTAAGTGACAGCAAAATATTCCGAATCTCTACAACTTTCAAGGATATCAAGCAACTGAAAACCATACCAAATGTAGTATTAAATTATTTCAGTTAGTGTTAGAGCAAGAAAATTATTCAGGGACTTCAAAAAATAGCATGGAAAGTATCTTCTCTATATTTGAGTTTATTCATCTCCTTATCCCTTCTTATATAAATAAAATTTTTGTTTTAAGCCACAAAAAAGATGGATAAAAAGTAAACTCTGTTAAACACTAAAATTAAATTAACTCTAATGCTCTCTAAATTGTTTGTAGTAAGAAAAGAAGATACTTTTCCAATCTCTTTCTATGACAAAAAATGGTCTTGATACCAAAATAAGAGACAAAGCAGAAAAAGAAAACTATAGACTCATATTCCTAATGAGCATTGATGTAAAACTTTAAAGTATTAGTAAGTAGCTTAAAACAAATTATTAGAAAGATCATATACTTTGACCAGATTGGGTTTATTCCAGAAATGCAAGAATGATTCATAGGAACAAACGGACTGCTCCTTAACATAGTAAACAGTATTTATCTAGATCCAAGAGCAAACATTATATGTAATGGAAAAAAGTTAGAGGCCTTTCCAGTAAAATCAGCAAAGTATGGTAAAGCAAGTATACCTATTATCTAAACCATTACTATTTAACTATTTAGTACAAGAAACACTAGCTATATCAGTAAGGCAAGAAAAAGAAATTGAACGAATGAGCATAGACAAAGAGAAAACAAAATGAATGCTTTCTGCAGATGATATGATGGTGTGCTTAGAGAACTCTAGGGAGCAAACTAAAAATTAATTGAAATAGTAACATCAGCAAGGTTGCAGGATATAAGGTAAATTCACATAATTGTCAGCTTTCTTACATATAACTAACAAAAGAGGGCAGCTAAGTGGTGCAGAAGGTAAGAATGTTGGACCTGGAGTCAGGAAGACTCATCTTCCTGAGTTCAAATCTGGCCTCTGACACTTACTGTGTGACCCTAGGCAAGTCACTTAACCCTGTTTGTCTCAATTTCCTCATCTATAAAATGAGCTGGAGAAGGAAATGGCAAACCACTCCAGTATCTTTCCCAAGAAAACCCCAAATGGGGTTGGACATGACTGAAAAACAACTGAACAACCACCACCAACAAAACACAGTAAGAAGAGCTAGAAAGAGAAATTCCATTCAAAATAATTACAGAAGTTATACTTAGGAATGTATTAATCACTAAAATGAGTTTTACTGGATTTATAAAAAAAAAAGGTCAATTGATAGAAGAGATTAACTACACAACACACAGAAGCAAATAGACATTGTTCAATAAAATCCCTTAATTCCAGTTACTGTAAGGAAGGACTCAATATTTGACAAAAACTGCTGGGAAAACTGGATAGTAGCTTGGAAGAAATTAAGTTTCTTCCTTACTTTCGATCTCTCCTGTTCCCATGATCCCTTTATCCTTTGATTAAAACATGTTCAGTTTCCCCTTATCATAAGATGACAGAAAATCCATCCCTTGACCCTGCAATGTCCTTAAACTAACTCCTTGTCCCTTAGACTTCTAAACTTCTAGCTGCTCCTACTCCCTCATCACCCCGCCACTCTACTGAAATGCAGAAAGACTTCTTCATTACCAAATTCAATGGTCTTTTCTTAGTTCTTAACTTCCTTTATCTTTCTGTTGCATTTGATACTGCTAACCACTTCCTCCTGTTTTATTATATTTTCTCCTGGTTTCTGTGATATAGTTCTTTTCTGGTTTCCTTAACCAAATCATCAACCAGTATCAACAAAATGTTATTATGTGACTGTGTGGAAGTATCATGTTAGGTGCTGGAGAAATCATAAACTGGATAAGATAAGAGTCCTTTCAAAATAGGACTAGACCATTCTAGTCCTTTATGTCTAGAAGGTACCAAGATCAGATACCAAGCAACAGAAATAGGTACAATATAAAATATTACAAGATAAATGCATTAGATGGTACAGAATAATGTGCCATGTGAGGTCCATAGGGAAATATAATTAACAAATGAGGAGTTGGGGGCAGGAAAGACTTTTTAGAGGACTAGAGAAAGAAAGCTGTTGAATTCATCTAAAGTAAAGAAAGTAGGAAGGGGTAGCAGGCAACATGATGCAAAGACAGAAAGTCAAGGCAGTCCAAAGTTGTGGATGCCCTTGTCAAATGGCAAAATTCTGAGCTTGATTTGGTCAAGAAGATGAAACAGGTAAAGATATCTCAGCAGAGCAATATGACTAGGTCTACACATAAGATTATTTGAGTGGAGACAAGAAGACATGTAAAAATGTGTGTAGTGGAGGGGTATAAGTGGGGGCATTGAATGAAGGTAGGACAATAGAAATAGAAAAGAGGTAATGGATGCAAAATATTTTCAGGTAAAATTAATAGATTTGGGTACCATCTCACACCTGTCAGATTGGCTAAAATGACAGAAAAGAAAAATAATACATATTGGAGGAGATGTGAGGAAAATGGGACACTAATGCATTGTTGGTGGAGTTGTGAACTGATCCGACCATTCTACAAAGCAATTTGGAATTATCCCCAAAGGGTTATAAAAACTGTGCATACCCTTTGATCTAGCAATACCACTGCTAGGTCTATATCCCAAAGAGATCATAAAAAAGGGAAAAGGACCTACATGTACAAAAATATTTACTGCAGCTCTTTTTGTGGTGGCAAAGATTTGGAAATTAAGGTGATGCCCATCAATTGGGGAATGGCTGAACAAGTTGTGGTATGTGAATGTAATGGAATTCTATTGTGCTATAAGAAATAATGAGCAGGTAGATTTCAGAAAAAAACTAGAAAGACTTACATGAACTGATGCTGGGTGAAGTTACTTCTTCACTGTACACTATAGACAGTAACAGCAACATTATGTGTAATGTAACACAATGATCCAAGACAATTCCAAAAGACTCATGATGGAAAATACTATCCACATCCAGAGAAAGAACTGTGGATTCTGAATGTAGATCAAACCATATGATTTTCACTTTTTTTTTGTTTTTGCTTTTTTTCCTTTCTCATGGTTTTTCTCTTTTGTTCTGATTCTTCTTTTACAACATGACTAATGTGGAAATATATTCCACATGATTGCATATGAATAACTTATATCAGATTGTTTGCCTTCTTGGGGGAAGGAGAAGGGAAAAAATACATAACTCAAAATCTTATAAAAAAAATTGGGGCAACTAGGTGGCGCCGGCCCTGGACTCAGGAGGACCTGAGTTCAAATCCTGTCTCAGACCAGACACTTGACATTGACACTTACTAACTGTGTGACCCTGGGCAATTGCCTCGCCCAAAAAAAAAAATCTTACAAAAAATAAATGTTGAAAACTATCTTTACATGTAATTGGAAAAAATAAAAACTATTTACAAAAAAAAGAAATTATTGGATTTGTTAACTGATTAAATATAAAGTGAAGGAAAAGGATGAGTCAAAGATAATCATAAGAACAATTAATTGAGCCATGGCTCATGACAAATAATGACTTATGCCATTTATTTATTAACTGTATGTTAGCTACAGGGAAGGCAGGTTAGTTAAAAAAATTATTTGCAATATTGAATTAATTTAATCCTTTATGTGAGTCCTATTGTTATATAAGAAATAATTTCTGCCTAATATTATTAAAGTCCTTTTTTCCTATCTATTTACTTACAAAAAGTAACAAGACCTAAAATGCTGCTAATTTTCTTATTTCAATCACTTCACTAAACCAAAAAGAAAGAAAAGTCTTTGTCTTTTATGTCATAATTCTGTGTCCAAATTTTTTACAAATCTGTTTTATTTATTTTTCCAATTTAATTTTTACCTCTATACTGAAGTAACCTCTGTCCACATAGTCTCCCAGGAAGAGGTAGCGTGTGTTAGCAGGTGATCCCCCAACTTCAAACAATTTCATCAAGTCAAAGAATTGCCCATGAATGTCACCACACACTAGATAAAAGAAGAGAGCATACAGGGAATAATATTTACAATTTCAGAAGAAAAAAGGCATTATAACAAAAGGAATTATTATTATGACCAGTATTTTACAAAATTATATTCAATTTGGCATAGTGAAATGCTCTTCTATAGATCTTTCAGACTTTTTTTAATGAACAAGAAAATACTATAGTAATGCTAACAATATTTCACCATAACAAAAAAATTAGCATAGCATATTTCTTCTACAAGAATAACCAGTACTTGTATTAGTGCCTCAAAATTGACCCATATATGTCATCATGGAAGTGCTTCTCAGACCTGTGATAGGTGCCTCCAATTCTATCATAGTCTTTTCATTTTTCAGAATGGCAGCTCCATCATTGATTATCTTTAAGGCTGCATCCTCTTCTAGTCTACCTTCCTTCACCAAATGGCTTTTCAAGATATCAAGTCTAGGTTTTCCATCTTCAAACACTTCTTTTATTGTGAGCCTATGAGTTGGAGGAAAAGGAACAGCTAGAAACAAACAAAAGAATAAAAATACTTATGTTTAGAGAATGTGGCAATATTATGATTACAAATGTATGCTCTCTGTGGTTATTTAACACAGTGCTTATTCTATATCTATAACACTAAAATTGAATAATGCAAAATTTCTGCATATTAAGATCCTGTGTAATAAATCTTACCATTTATTGTTTTTGAGAAAGGTTGCAGGTAAATCCAAAGCCAGTTTTAAAACAACTTATTACAAAAGTAATATTTGTCATATTTGGTCATAAAAGATTTTTATCTAGCATACAGTAGGCAATTAAAATGTTTCCTGAATTTGAAGCTGATTTAAACAAGTAAAATATAAGAAGACTTTCCTACATAAATGCATCTTTATCTGAAAAAAGAAATATAATCCAAAAACAACAAATATTTACTAAGTGCCCACTATGTTCAAGGCACTGATTGTGCTTTATGTTCTGTAGGAAAAAAAATAAAAAACAAAACAGTCAAGGAATTTACATTCTACCAAGGGATTAAAAAAAGTGACCTCAAACTATAAAATTCTTCATTTAAGAAGATTAAAAAGGAAAAATTACAATGCTCAAAGACGATGTCCACAGAGCTGTCCCAATGAAATCATATGCTTGAACAGTTCCTTTCAATTTGAATTAGTTTAGCGATCACAGCAATGGATCTAGAGTCAAAGGACAATGGTCATTTACTGTGCCATCTACTATCTAACTTTGCACAGCTAAAATAAGACAATTAGACTACATAAGTACTAAAGTCCTTTCCAGACTGAAAATCCTATGATGCCATAAATTCCAGATCAGGCAAAGTACAAAATTACATAAAGTACATTTTATTTATTTTAACAAGCATTATTAAACACTTATGTTCAAGTTACTACCCTATGCATAAAAAGATTACAGAGTTCTCTAGAAAGAGAGTGGTATATTTTATTACTATCAAGAATATCACTGATCTGGTGGTATAAATTGTTGTTCCAATAAACGTAAGCTTGAAAAGATTAGATATAAAAGGGATAGCTCTGTTTCTTAAGGACCAAGCATGCCAAAGAGAGAGGTTTCATATTTAATCATCCCTTTTCCATCTTGTTGCCCACTTTGACTTTGGCAGGTGTGAGAGTCAACTCAACCCATTTCTGATCGTACAACTGAAAAGTGGACAATTTGTCTCAATTATATGTGTGGAGTGAAGTATTTATGACAGTACAATTAATGAATAATCTTGCTAGGAAAAACATGTAACATTTTAAAATTAAATAGTTTAATTTAATGTCAAATATATTGACAAATATAGCCTACTTTATTTCATATTTCCTAAGTGACAACCTGAAAGTCACAAGTTTTCTCAAAAAGAAAGGAGCTCAATTAAATACAAGTATCTTTAAAGTGACATTTCCTGTACTATGAAAGGGTTAAAAAAAAGACCCAAATAGGTAGCAGGAATAAAATGGCTTATTCTAGTCATATTTTGCATGATTTTAGAAGTTGAAAATACTTTCCTTATGACAAGCTTCCTCAAGAATCCCATTCCTTAACTACTAAGAAACTACTGTAGAAATTACAGCAGTTATTAAAACAATAAAATAAGAGAGCATTACTTTGTATAGATGTCAAAATTCTTAGTCTTAGATTTACATTATTCCACTAACATCCTCCCCATCTTCAAGGTCTCATCATGGTAAAGAAATGATCCTGAGTGTTCAAAGGCTTCACCTTAGAGTAAAAAGATCTAACAAGTCCTACTAAACTAGAAAGCCTTCAAGTAAAGGTTCAGTGATGGACTGATTATAGACTTGCCACGTTAAGCCCTCATCCCAGGTATGCTTCAAGGTGAGGAAATTTTCAGCCACAGAAACTATTACAGAGTATCTACCAACAATTGTAGAGGGGTAGCATTGTATTTTTGTAGAGGGAGTAATCACACCAAGGAAATAATGGATCTTTGCAGTCATGAAGTGTTATTTTCACAATCCAGACAAATAAGCAAAATGTCATTTAAAACGACAATTCAATTACAAAACAAATGAAAGAGGGGCTAATATTTTACTTAGCTGATGAATTTCTATGGTAGCAGGAAGAAATAGACAATGAAAAGTCATGAATAAATTTGCTCAAATGTATCTAAACTGGGAGAGCATGGTCTGGTCTGTCTCCATTAAAGATTACACAAAGAAATGAGGGCAGTGAACCTTGGCTGCAGAAGGGCCAGAAAGCAGGGGAAAGTAAATGTGTCTCAAGAAACAAAGGAGAAATACGAGTCACCTAAATAAGATTTCTTGAGGCTGTCTCCCTAGAAAATCATCAGTCTCTTATGATTTAAGACCCAAAGAACAAAGTGAAGTTTCATACTTAATCTCCCTTTTATGTCTCGTTGCCTATCTCAACTTAGTCGAATTCAAATCAAATCACCCCATCTTTCTTCCTCTGATAATGAAGAAATGGACAAGTCACCTATGGAAAGCCTAAATTATATTTGTCCTACTTTAAACCTTTTATTTCTCAGTCAAAGTGATGTCTAAAATTGAAGTAGAACCTGAAGTTTTGATATGAAGACGTTATGGCAAAGAGCAGGTGGCCCTCTTGTAAAAAGCCATAAATGTGTTAACACTTAACTTTAACCTATTTTTGTAACTGTTTATTCCAATATTTCTTGAAAAATATAAAATTTCATTGATGAGATATTTGTTCCATCACAACCCAGCTGTACTTTGTGTGGGGGTTTTGTTGTTTGGGTTTGTTGTTGTTGTTTGAGTTGCTATGGATAAAACATCATTACCTGGCAGACAACTTTTAAGTGTTCTGCTGGAATAAATCCTATGTTTCTGCTAACCCCTGAGGTAAGAGAACAGAGAAGAAACTCTTCCTTCCCCAAATAATGAGATATTGTCAGACAGAAAGTAAGCAAGATTCAGATTTCTCACCTAACATGAAAAAGTAATCTAAGTGGAAGCAATCTGAAGATAAAGAAAATCTGTTTAACTTTACTCTTTCTCCAGTTATCGAGTAGCAATAATTTCTTTTCTTTCTTGCTTTCTTTCTTAAATAAGGCAAAAGGAAGCATGTAAAAGTAAGTCTAAACTAGGTTACGGTTAGGGGAGGTGAGAGAAATGGGACAAGGACAAAACAGAAACAATGAATGGAGTTAATTTGAGTATGAAGTACAGTGGTTAATACAGGATCTATGGCATAAGTCTCCTAAGGCAGATGTGCCAAAAATAGAACAGCATTATTAGACTGAGCCAAGTAGGATCTCTCGACTTCAGATTGGCAAGAAGGAATACCTAGGCAGTCTCAACAGTCTACTATATAACTGAAATCAGAAATAGCTCATACAGGATAACTGTATCTCTTAAAATAGGTCCCACACAGTTTAATACAACTTATTGATCAACAAGCATTTATTAAGCACCAACCATGCCCCCAAGCACTGTGCTAAGTGCTACAGCTTAAAAGGGCAATAAATTAAACAAGTTTGGCTCTCTAAGAACTTTCAACAAATACACACATAAATACAACAAGGGACTTTGCTGGACATCAAAGGAGACAGAAGATAAGTCAAATATCTTGTGAAGCCGAGAAGTTAGAGTGGGGAGGGGAGGAGAAGAGAGGAAGAGGAAAAAGATGCTAAAGAGGGAATATGCCATAACTAGCTTCCATTCAGAAACCCAAGATGTATAGGATTCTGCTTGGCGCCTTCTTGTTTGCCTCAGGATACAAAGAAAGTGGCAAACAGCAGCAAAACAGCTGTAGTTATCTGTTATAACATGGAAATCCAAATCATTAAAACTACTAGCACACTTTCAAATCAAAACACATTTTAAGTTTGCTGCTCTAAATTTTCTAAGCCATTATTTATCCTTTTACAAATTTTTAAAACTTTATTTTTAATTTATGGAATAAAACAAGTATTTCTGTAACACAGCAAGATAAAAAGACGATTGTACACAAACTACAAATCTACTATGCACAACTTGTTATTCCTTTCAAATATACAACAAAATTATCATGTAAATTTTTTTCTTTCCTCCTCCCCAGCCTAAAGGTATATATATGTAAAATTATTCTATACATACTTCTATTTATCAATTCTTTCTCTAGATGCAGACAGTGTCTTTCTTCCTATGTCCTTTATAGTTAATTTGGGTATTTATAATAGACAAAATAATTTATTCACTCAAAGTCATTCTTTTTTTTTTTTTTTTTGGCGAGGCAATTGGCGTTAAATGACTTGTCCAGAGTCACACAGCTAGTAAGTGTCAAGTGTCTGAGGCCAGATTTGAACTCAGGTCCTCCTGACTCCAAGGCTAGAGCTCGATCCACTGCACCACCTAGCTGCCCCCTCAAAGTCATTCTGAAAACAATATTGCTATTACTGTATACAGTGTTCCCTTGGTTCTGCTCATTTCACTCTTTAATTTCGTGTGAGTCTTTTCACGATTTTCTAAAATCATTGAGCTCATAATTTCTTACAGCACAGTAGTATTCCATCACAATCATATACCACAACTTGCTTAGCCATTCCCCAATTGATGGGCATCTTTGCAATTTCCAGTTCTTTGCCACCACAAAGAAAGCTGTTATAAATATTTTAGAATATATAGGTTCTTTTCCTTTTTCCCTAGTCATCTTTGGAAATAGACCACGTAGTGGTATTGCTGGGTCAAAGAGTGTTTGAAGACGATCAACGACACCACAGGGTGATATCTTGACTAGCATGTAGACTGGATTTAAGTAAGGCAGAGTTGCACAAAGTCATCAGCCTCACTCTCTCTTCCATAGTTATCAAAGACCAACAGCAAGACAAAAATCAAGACAACTGGTGATGACCCAAGATGCAGTGGATGACCTTAGTGTCTTCTATGTCTGACCAATCTCTAAGCACTCCACAGGACCTGCTTCAGCTATCTTCATGGCTATTGAAACAAATTGTTCTCATCTGCCCATTCCACCAGGGGAAGTCTTCTTTTGCTTGGGGTAGACATCCCCCTAACT